ACACCAAGACAGTGAAACACAACAACACGCATTTTCCAGCTGTAACATGATGGCATTGCCTGCCAGCCAGCACTCAACGACAGCAGCAGCATCACCACCTGTGGGCTCAACTGTGCAGGGCAATTACCTTTGTCTTTGTACTGCGTCCTTCTCCAACAGCACAGAAGACAGAGTTTTCCTTGTCCTGCTGAATCCTAGCAACTAAATGGGAACAGCTCTCAGCAGCAACACTAGCCACAAAATTCCATATAAATTTGAAGTTTCTTTCTAACACCAGTGCAGAATTTTATTTTTGTTTTTAATAAGAAGGAAAACAGAAAACTTAAAATGCTAGTCCTGGTGATGAACTTGTCTCTGAAAATTCACAAACGAAATTAAACAAAAATTAAAATTTTAAGTGCACCAAAGATAGCAGAACTGAAGTTATAACTAGAAGCTCAATCGTTAGTTGTACTCATTAGTTGACATCTTGCTCAATTATGAAGAAAACTATCAACCTGTACAAAATCTAGAATATGTCACCACAGAATATTTCTATGAGACAAAGTAGTATTCAAATTTGGGATTTCACCTTTTTACCAAGAAGATAGATGTCTACAGATTCATACATTGAGTTTTATACCTATTTAAACCATGCAATATAGCTGTAGAAGGTGGACTGCTGTCCTGTGCATTAGCAAAACAGTTTGCAAGTGCTTCATGGAGGCTGTATATTTACCCAAGTTAATGTATCTATGAAAAACAAGAGCGTAGCATCCTGGGGCTTTTCAAGTCCTGTGCAGTGAGAAAAAAAGATGCTAAGCAAATTAATACATGTTTTATAAACAATGGAAAAAAGTTTGAGGAAAACCAATTCTGTAGCAAGCTGAATATTTTGATGTTGGCTACATCTTAGATGGCCTGATAAATGAAAACAGGGCTGGAACACTAGTATCTCTTGCAACAAGCAAGTATCCTAGGTTGAAAGTGTTTGAGATTGGTAAAATATGACACCTGAGGAAAAGAAGCATCTGACTATAATCCATTAAAAGACACCTTTGAGCCTTTCAATTTCTCTCCAGGAGTCAGCCCTCAAAAGCACAACTGTGTAAGTTCTTGACAAATGCTCTTCCCAGCCTCCTAAAGTCTGTCATTTTAGTGAGACCATCCAAAGCAATTTCTGCAGAGAGGTTTATGCTACAGCCTATCCTGATTTGAGTCCCAACTCCACCATTAACAGCTCTGATTTGGACAAATTTATTAAATGATCTCTAAAACTCTGTTTCCTCACCTATAAAATGGCAGTTACTGTTCCTACTTCAACATTTTGATTAATCATACTTTGATATTTAGTGAAAACACTTATGTAAAAAATAGTTTCAGCAAAATGCAAAAACACATAAAGCTATGTTCCATAATGTTAGCTATTGGGGTCAAGTCCAAGAGTCACTGTTATTTTAATACATTTTTTTCTTTCAAATTTGCAAAGGAGGAAGAACAGTACAAGAACTCCCATATAGCTATCAACTGTTTTTACTTTGCGATTTTATTTTTTCCCCTAGAGTCACTGGTGACAAAAAAAAAAAAAGTATAAAATAAAATAAAAGTTGTCTATACTCCACCTCTTCAATTTTCATGCCAATGTGGATAGCAGTGGAATTCCAAGGAGGCTACCACAGAGTCTTACTCTTCCAGAAGGAGGAATTTCCTTACTTTCTAGTTGCAACTCATATCCAAGATCCCAACCCCAAGGCTACTCTCATTTTAGATCCCCTCTTTTCTCTTTCTGAAGCAATAAATAAAATTTCAAGGGAAAGGATTTAATCAAATGTTCTTTTAGAACACCCTGTACCACTTTGGTCTATACTTGAAAATTCTCATATTCCAGAGCTGACTGAATATGCCCCACCACTTTTCGTCTAGGACAGCATCTCCCATTTTTTGAGAAATGCAGCTTTGAGGAAAAGAAGGAATGACTGGTTCACTAGCAAGACAATTGTAATCCAGTTAGTAGATGACCATCTTTGTAGTTAGAAAAACAACTGCTCCTGCGAATCTGTCATTGTTAGTACCTGGGATTTCTGAATCACCTCTGCATAACTGAGAGGCTTGGGTAAATAACATCTAGTTACACACCTGGACACAGACATTCATTAATGCCTACTCCTGGAAAAAAAGTGAAAATCGTGTAGCCAATCACCACTGCAGGCCACTCTTTCTCTTCTAGTCATAATCTAAGATTAGGGAGACTTTTTAAATTAAAAACAAAATCAAAATATATGGTTTGACAAGTACAATGATTAAGAGTGAGCTACTGACTACTAAGCAAATATGCCCAATGCTATACGAAGTACTTCAGATAGAATTCCTCCTTAAATCTTCCACCATCTCTGGGTGGTTGATAATATTTCCATTTTTATGACTCATAGCTAATCTGTCTGATGTCACAGCTCAAATTCTCAGTCACCACAGGGGGCGGAAAAAAACCTCCACAAGAACAGTTGTTCTCATCTCCATGGGAGAAGGAGGAAATTAAAGGTGATGGCCATGGAACTTGGTCATCTTAGGTGCCAAACATCCCAAGACATTCGGCTCCACAAATACACTGGGCACAGAGGAAGTATGGACAGAAATAACCTGGGCTGACAGGACACAGCGATACAGGATTGCAGGGTGTTGCCCAGTAAGACAGCAATGATGTAGGCCTCAAAGCTGGTCTAGACAGCAAGGGGGCATAATGGTTACACACACAGATTCTGGAGAATGAATGATCTGGGTTCAAATTCCTCCTCTACTGATTGCTCCAGTTGTAGGATCCTGGGCAATCTGACCTCTCAGGCCAAGTATCCTCGTCTGTAAAATAGAGTTAATAATTCTACCTATTTCAGAGCTGTTCTGATGAGTAACTGAAACAATCCATGAAAACACTTAGTATAATGCCTATCTCACTGGAAATGCTCAATAGCTGTTACTTGTTAGGGTTATTACTGTTATTCTTAATGTTGTGGTGGTGTTTCTGCACAATTTTAGTTGACTGCCCCAACACACACCTAACAGAGAAAATAAACACTGTTTAATCAAGATTTTTAAATTCTCAAGGTGAGACTGCATGACTTTTATGACAAAATCAATACACTTACAATGAGCCAAAGCAAAATTTTAAGCACAAACAAGATCAGGTATACAAGAACATATAATTCTGTAATAGAGATTTATTTCTTTTTAATTCATCTTGAGAGCCCTGACCAGGTAACTCAGTTGATGAGAGCATCCTCACCAACTAAGGCATATTTTTTATCACACACCTGTGTTCAAACTGATTTTATTATTCACTTACTGCAATGGCAAGCGCTGCCTTGGAAACTAAAGGCATGCACACTACAAGGGAATTCTCACTGTTTGCCTGCTAAGTATCGTGTTAAAAATGATAGTTTTGAGGTATGTTAAAATAATATATACATTTAATAATTATGTTTTTTAATCCCCACCCAAGGACATGCTTATTTATTTTAGAGAGAGCAGAAAGGGGGAGGGAAAGAGAAACATTGGTAAGTTGCCTCTTGCACGTGCCCCAACTGGTGATAGAACCCACAACCCAGGTATGTGCCCTGACCAGGAATCGCACCCACAACCTTTTGGTGTACGGGATGAGGCTCAACCAACTAAGCCACGTGGCCATGCTTGATAATTATGTTTCACATATCAACAGGACAGATTCTACAATGTTATTTTTTTTCAGAAGGATAAAAAGAGAACAGATTCTATAATCAGTTAAAATAGTCCCAGCTTGCGAGAGAACTAGGGGAAAAATGAGTTACTGAGGTACTATCAATACGTACCCTTCATCAGACACAATGCAAATAAAATATGGTGTGGAAACCTCTGACTTTTAAGTAGAGGATACCAGGGAGAGTAAGTGACTTGTCAAAACTAACACATGTGTCTAATTCCCTGCCATTCCCTACACAAAGGCTCAGTGACAGTGGCCCTTTGCCCACCCCCATGTTGATGAAACGCATGGTAGAAAACCAATCGGCTGCCTCCGGGCCACTCCTGATGGGTCAGGGAAGAGCCCCAAATAAACATCCTCTTTATTCTTCCACTAAAACCCACATCACAGAAACCTGCATACAGCTTTTCACTTAGTATTTACACCTTTGAGAAGGCAATGATTTCTTTAACCATAACACACTATTGGTGGGATCAAACAGGAGAATATATTTTTTAAGATTTTTGAAAAGTTTAAAACTAGCAACTTGAAGAAACAGTAGTAAACTGCCACAGAATAGTTGAGACAAGTCCATCTGAAGCTAAGTCAGCACACAAAGCTTTTCTTCTATTCCACCATATGAGAATATTACTAGCCCTAAATGTATCCAAATAGCCCTCAAAACCACTTATGGTGAAAGTAAAACTTGCCTCTTTCCCATCTTGCAAGATGGTGGGTGAAAAAACTGAGAAGTCAGATACTAAGAAGAAACCTGAAGCCAAGGTTAAGAAGGGTAACCTCAAGGCCAAGAGGCCTAAGAAGGGGAAGCCCCAATGCAAGCAGAACCCTGTCCTAGTCAGAGGAATTGGCAGATATTCCTGGTCGGCTCTGTATTCCTAAAAGGCCTTGTTCAAGAGGAAGTACTCAGCAGCTAAATTCAGGGTTGAAAAGACAAAGGAGAGCTCTGGCCCTGTGGCTCAGTTGATTGGAGTGTCATCCCGTAAAACAAAAGGTAGAGGGTTCCATTCCCAGTCAGGGCACATACCTGGGTTGAGGGTTTGGTCCCAGGTTGGGGAACGTATGAGAGGCAACCAATCGATGTTTCTTTCTCACATCTAAGTTTCTCTCCCTTTCTCTCTCACTCCCTCCCCTCTCTCTAAAATCAGTAACAATGCCCTCTGGTGAGAATAAAAAATAAAATAAAATAGTTTCTTTTTTTAAAAAAAAGACAAAGGAGAAAGTTCTTGCTACTGTCACAAAACCAGCTGATGGTGACAAGAATGGTGTTACCCAAGTGTTTAAACTGCACAAAATGACTAGATATTATCCTACTGAAGATGTGCCTCAAAAGCTGTTGAGCCACAGCAAGAAACCCTTCCATTGGCACGTGAGAAAACTTCATGCCGGCATCAGTCTCGGGACCATTCAGACCATCCTCACTGGGCACCACGGAGGCAAGAGGGCGCTTTTCCTGAAGGAGCTGGGCAGAGCCCTGCTACTTGCGAGTGGACCTCTGTCCCTTAATCGAGTTCCTCTGCACAGAACACACCAGAAATTTGTCATCACCACCTCCACCCAAATTGGTATCAGTGGTGTGAAAATCCCCAAACATCTCACAGGTGCTTACTTCAAAAAGCAGAAGCTATGCAAGCCCAGACACCAGAAGGGTGAGATCTTCAACACAGAGAAAGAGAAATATGAGATTACAGAGCAGCACAAGGTTGATCAGAAAGCCATGGACTCGCAAATGCTGCCAAAAACCAAAGCTGTCCCTTAGCTGCAGGGCTACCTCTGCTCTGTTTGCTCTCACAAATGCGCTTTGTCCTCACAAACTGGTGTTCTAAATTTCTCGTGAAGAACCTAATTAAAACCCTGATCTGTTTCTTTTTTCTAAAAAAAAAAAAAAAAGGAGAGAAGGAAGAAGGGAGGGAGGGAGGGAGGGAGGAATGGATGGATGAAGCATGTCCCTACAACCAACGTAAGTCTGTAAATTAACCTGTAAAGACACACAATCTTGCCTACCCTGAACAAGACAGAGAGGGCCTTGGTGGACTTGGCCAATTCATGCTGGCCACCAGAAAAGCCAGTGAGGAACAATGTCAATAAAAATACCTTTGAAATATACCCCTAACCACAGACAAAGAGTCCCAGGAAGAATATCTACGTATACAAAGATCAAAGTCTGACCCATAACAAAAATAAATGGATGCTAGTGTTGCCTATAGAAACTGGCAAAAACTAAAATACAAACATTTCCCTCAACAAGTTGTTTCAGGATAAATGTTCAGGGTTTCCGTAATTTATTTCATAGAATATTAAAGTCAGCAACTTAAAAGGTTTTCTGTTCTGAGTTTATCAGTTAGCATCTCTCACTTACTACCAACCATGTTATAAAATCCCCTTTTTATAATCATTGAATAGAGTGACTTCTTAGCTATTTTATATATAAAACCAGCTTATAGATACACTAAAAGATCAGATAAATATTCTGGCCAGGATGCTTTTTTCTTTCTTTTTTTTTTTTTTTTTTTTTTTTGGACAATTATTTAAGTAATGTATTTATTTCTACCATACCTATGTGTGACTGAAACTAGGTCCTAAAATACAACTAACTCCTCCACTAAGAGCACAGTTGGACCCACTAGCTATCTGTTGGGAGGCCAAGGACCTTGTCCCAATACGTAACTAGCAACAGAAAGCTGCTTCCAGAATGTGGAGATACAAAAGAACAAAATGTAGCAAAGTCTGCTTGCCTAGGATTCTAATCTCAGTCTATGATAATTAAGCTCATACAAAGTGCTACATAGTAGGCAAGGAACAAGCAAAGTGCTACACATTAGGCAAGTAACAAAGGAAGTGTCACATGTTAGACAAGTAACAAAGGTTCCTTCCCCTCTCCCTTTCCATTGACCCCCAACGGTAATCCTTGATGGGCTCAACATGCACCAACATCTAGGGGAAGCTAGCAAATTATTTTGGAAAGTTTTGGAATGCTACTAGGCTGCATCAGTCATTTGCTACAAGAATTCGTGTACCTCCTCCTCAAATCTAGTCCTCAGGAGCTCCCTGTCTCAGTAAATAACATCACCAGCCAGGGAATACACTGGAAATCTACATTCCCTGACACCTTCCTCTCCCCCTGAGAACAAATCTATCCTCAAGTCCTATTCATCGAACCTCCTAAATATTTCTCAAATCTGTCGATTTTTCTCCATCCCCATGGTCATCAATCTAGTCCAAACCATTATTTCCCCATGCCATGGACCACAACAATAGCAGGCAGGATGCTGTTCCCCGTCTATTCTCCCTCCCCTGACCCACCCATCAATTCAGTCTTCAAGTCTGCTCATGTCCAGCACTGCTTAACCCTCATTGGTGATTCTGCTGCTTTTTTTAAAATCCAAAATTCCATATCCTGTAAGCCCTTCCCAAGCTAGTCTTTACGTGCCTCTTAAGTCTCATCTAGCTGCTCTCTGTTGACCTCAAACATACTGCATCTCTCCAGATTGGCTAGTGCTGCTCCTTCCTTCTACCATCATTTGAATAGCACTGCTAAAGCCATTCCCAAAGAGTAATACCCCACACAGAATCTACCTATGACGATGCAGTAGCTTCATTTATTTTATGTGTGGGCCTGTCGTATCTTCTCATGGCACCTCTGTATTCCCAACTCACACATACCTAGCACCTTTCAGGTAGCAGGTACCCAATAAATATTTGAATCAATCGATGAACAAGAAAACAGATGAAACAGGAAAAGTGATCACAATCCAGAGTCAGCTGCCACTAGAGCCAAGCCTGACACCTACAGCAGCAGTGTGCGGCTAAAATGGCCAATAAAAAAAGCTTCTCTGATTCCACATTGGCCTAAACAAACAAGCCCAAGGACCAATCAGCCTTTTACAACCAAGTTCTGCTTCTTCATTACAATTGTACATTATTTTTACTTTTTAAAAGATAGTCTTTAATTTTCAAAGTAAAAATAAAACACAACCCTCCAAAAATACTTCACTGAGAAAACTGTCATGTTTGCAGTCAACTAACATTAACTTAAAAGTACAGGAATCAAAAACAAATAAACAAAAAAGGTACAGGAATCTAGTTATGGTAATGAATACATGCTTGCAAAATGAAAACAGTAATCAAACCCTGGAATAATTATCTCTGAATTTTTCTAGATGGATAATCATAGTTTCCCCACCCACCCCACCCCCACCAAGAAAAAAAACTCTCTAAACTATTACACAGGAGAGGCAAATTATTATTGGTTTAAGAATACCTGTAAGAGCTATGTTAGCAGATAATGCTGGATTCTGAACCCAAAAGGTACTCTGAGTCAGAATATAAGACGAAGAGAGCTAGGCTCTTCCAGAGCCAGCTCAGTCATCCTACAAAGGCAAACCCACGCCTGCCCTGTGCCAGCACCGAGCTAGGCACCAGGAAGACACCTGTGACCAAGCAAGCTCTGCAATAACTGGGTGACCAGCCAGAGGCAATGCATTTAATTAATCTCTCTGGGCTTTAGTTTCTTACTCTGTAAAATGAGAAAGTTTGACTAGCTCTCTAAGGTCCTCATGCTCTAAATATCCAAAGATTCATTAATGATTGTAAAATAAATTTCTATTTGACAATATCATTATGATTTCCTATTCCTATTGGTAATTTTTACCATGCAGGTGTAATTTCATTTAAGATTTTTAATATATTGATACAAGTAAAATAAAAGAGCAGCAGTACTGTTTTTAATTACCTTTCCAGCTCTTAATAACCACCATAATCAGCTATGGACTGCCATAATTGCAACCTGACCTGAGTAACACCCAAATTAAAATAAATCGTCGCATCACCATATTTTTGTAGAAAAATTAAGTGATCATTTATTCCCAATTTATTTTTTATTTTAACATTATCCATCGTCTTTGAATAACAGCTTTTTGAGAACTAAGACAAAATAATGTTTTCTAATGAAAAAAAGAAATTTTTATCTCCCAAACTAATAAAGGTACAATGGCTTTAGAAACCTGGGAAGATACAATACTAAATTCTGAATTCCTAGTGGCATAAAAATAAGAGCTTGTAAAAAACAGATACACAAATGTGTCCATGTGAATGAAAAAGACAATTAAAGAGTTGCACAGAGCCAATATATGCCTGACATCACCTCAACATTACCCAAAATGCTCCTTCTCCATCTTTTTTAGTGAATTTAGCTATGTGACCCATATCTATGTTAGTACTTGTCTGTTTACATCGAGAAAGCATTTGAATACTGAAGTAAAACAATTTAGTACAAAGCTAAAGTTTTAAGGATCATTTTTTTTGGTAGTCACACTTTGCTTAGCCCTGACTAAGCATTTTTATTCTTGCAATGCCTTATTTATAGTAAATGTTTATAAGATGGCCACGGTGTCTGCTATCAAACCCTCAAGGCCATATATGGGTATGGATAATAAAGGATAAAAAAATACTACCTTCAAAGTTAATGTTAAAAGTAAAATGTATTTGGTTAACGATGGAACTCTCTTTCCTACTAGATGGTAAACTCTCTGAGGGGAAGCACAGCCTCTTCATTTCTCGTTTGCACACTCACAGTTTGCCAATGGTTGCTGAATCAAAAGTAACTAAAGGGTTATGACTGCATGGCAGACAGCCTTCCTTCAGCATAGGGAGTGAAACACTGTAAGCTTAGGTTTGCAATAATGACTCTAAATTAGACATGTAGACTGTTCTTAGGGGTTACACAGCATGTACATAAGAGCACTCAGACTGTATTCTCATAGAGGAAAATATTTTTCTCTTGACCTAATTGCTTAAAAACTATACTATATTACACTAACTGCATCCATCTGTATGAAGAAAAGTTGTAACATATCTTTGACACAGTACTTAAAAGTATTTCTCACATATTCATCTTAACCCAATAAAAGTAACACACATGAAAAAAAAGTTTTGGAATTGGTCCTATAAGTCAAACTGATTAAAAACTAGATCAAGTACAAATGAATCTATGAACTAAGATTCTAGAGACATTATTTCAAACTTGGCTTCTATATTTTCACCTTGAAAAAAAAGTGTTATTTTTTTCCTCAAAAGAAAATAACATTGGAATTTTAACCATCACCATTATCTATATATGACCTATGTCATTTCTCTACCCTGACTTCTATGTTAAGACACAGAAAAGGAAGTAATTTTTTTAATTAATTTGAAAATAAGTTCATTGATTAAACCAATATAACTGGAGTTTGGAATTGACATGCCAGTCGTTTATTATTATTATTCATTTCTTATCTAGAAACTCATTTCAATCTCCAGACCTATAATAGAATTAATCAAGTTTCAATTTACTGGCTTGCACACAGGAAGAAAAAAATAGAAAATATCAAAAGAATATAAATGATAAAGTCTATAGTGCTAGAAAACAATTCCTGCGTAGCGTGGCGAGGACATTCACCTGTTAAAGCCTCCCAAAGATCCACTACGTTTTTTTATCTGGTCACCAAAAAGGAGGGAATGCCATATTTCAACTCTTTGGCAAAATAAGAAAATTTAGTTCCTAAAACTTGCTGGAAGCCCCTTTTCATTTCCAAATTGTTTGCTTTTAGTAACTTTTTTTACAGTACAGATTTTTCTCAGGGAAAATAAACTTTTCCTGAGCAAATCTGGAAGACATAAAATGTCTCCTACTTATTATCACCTAGAAAGGCAAACCACGTGCCCCAAGCATCTAGCTTTCAGCCTCTTTATTATCATTGTCAATGAATGGGCCCCAGTCAA